TTGAACATATTTTTTTAACACGATAACTATAGGTATTTGTTTTAGTACATAGTAGTGAAAATAACTCCCTACATTACGTGTGAGAAGTGTAACTAAAATCAATGACAAAAAGAAAAAAACAAAGAAGTAGAAAGAAAGACGTGTGAATTGATTCTGATTCACATTAAATTCCTACAATCTGAAACAAGTAATGGACTTGCAGGAAATTACAGAATTAAGTTGAATTATACTTCACACTCTATCTTCTACATTAAGGCTTTGTTTGGATGGAGTGATTTGAGAGAGTGGAAATGAGAGAGTGGAAAAGGAGGGATTTGAAGAGAAATGGAGATGAATGTAAAGTGAAAGGAAAGTTTATGGGAAATTGTGAATGATTTGATTGATATGAGATATAAAAATTATAATTTTATGTTGATTATTTAAGAAAATTACCATTTTACCCTTTGTATAAAATAAGGTTCAATTCAAATGATTATAAATATAAAATTTTAATTAATTATCCATATTTTAACATTGATTATATATTTAAAATAAAAAACAAAATTAAAAGTGTTTGTAATTACTATAATATAAAATATATATTCCACAATATTACTAAAATTTATATATGTATTATAGAAATGAAAATAAATTATATTTGAGAATATATAATTTTGATAGAAAATTATATATATATATATATATATATATATATATATATATTCTAAAATATAATTTAACATTTTGAATTCGAAAGGTTTTCTCTAATAACAAATTAAAAAACATAATATTCAAAAAAATATTTTAAGATTCGAGTCTCGGGTTGTATTTCGCTCGAGCGATAACACTCTCGCTCGAGCGAAAAACCATCCTGATCGATCATAACATTGATTTTATCGATCATAATTGGAGGATATCATAGCGGTTCCTCTGTAACCGCTATTTAAAGTATATATTAGATAGCGGTTATAGTTTAACCGCTATTACAAGTTATATTTCGCTTGAGCGACATTAAACTCGCTCGAGCGAAGACACCTGCACATTATTTTCATCCTCGGGTTGTTTTTCGCTTGAGCGAAACTGATCTCGCTCGAGCGACTAGCAAAGTATGATCTCGCTCGATTTATTTTAATCGATTAAAACACGTTTTAATCGATTAAAACCACTTTGGAAGTCAGGATGATCGATCAGAATGTAATTATGACCGATCGAGTTGGTTATGATCGATCAGAATTGAATTATGACCGATCAGACTTATTTCAATCGATTAAAACAAATTTCAATCGATTAAAATGACTTGAAAATTTTTGTACGAGTTTCAATCGATTAAAACAAATTTCAATCGATTAAAATGACTTAGAAAAAATTAAATGCAGGTTTTTAATCGATTAAAACTTCTTTGTATCAGCTTAAAATAACTTGAAAAGTGTTATAAGAGAGTTTTAAAGCTGAATCAATCGATTAAACCGCGAATCAATCGATTAAATCACTCTTAGAAAATGTATGTAAAAAGTTTTAAGCTGATAAAAACTTGGTCGTATCGACTAAAACAATTACGTTAAAGAACAAGAACGCATTAATGGGTTGAAAGGACTTTTAACAGATTATAACGGCTATTTCAACGATTAAAACAAACTTTGAACAGATTAATTAATGCGGTTTTTCGAAAACTCTTTTATAAACGAAATTGCTTGGAACTTTTATCATATCAGTTTTTAAAAAAACAAAGCAATCAATTTATTGGGTGAACCAAGTATAACAATTGCTTGGAACCCAATTGGAATTTAGTTGGAGACTTGACGTAGCCCGGTATTGGGTGAACCAGGTATAACATTGATTATATATTTAAAAGAAAAAACAAAATTAAAAGTGTTTGTAATTGGAAACAAATTTAAAAAATTAACTTTTTTTAGATAGTTATTAAAAATTATATAAATAAACAATTACAATATAATTTTCTACTTTGAGAATTAATAATATAATTAAACATCAAAATTGAGAATACTCTTATACATTTTGAACTCTTTTGGAAAAATTTTGTTTCCCTAATTTTTGATAAAGTTAATTTTAATATTTAAATTTATTAGAGGTTAAGGTTTAACCTCTATTATAAGCTCCCTTTAAGAATGGTTCTTAAAGTGTTCCATCAACTCCCTAGCTGCTTCTCAATTCTGATTGAATCGGTGCGAGTCGGATTAAAGAAAGTAGAGTCGGATGTTATTGCCTTTGCCCCCACGCCGACTTGCTCTCTAATCCCACTGCTGATTGGATTGAGCGAAAAAAGTGGAGCTTAGGTAGGCTACAGCAACTCTCAAAGCGTGAGCTCATAAGCCGTATTTCGCTCGAGCGACTATATCTCGTTCGAGCGAAATACGATCCTGATCGATCATAAGTTGAAATGATCGATCATAATCGGAGGATATAATAGCGGTTCCTACGTAACCGCTATCTAAAGTGCATATTAAATAGCGGTTCCAGTGGAGCCGCTATCATATACTAATCATATTTTAATTTCTTGAGTCTCGGGTTGTGTTTCAGCTTGAGCGACTATATCTCGCTCGAACGAAATATGATTCTGATCGATTAGATTTACGAAATGATCGATCATAATTGGAGGATCTAATAGCGGTTCCCTGTAACCGCTATCTTAAGTGATATATAATAGCTGTTAAGATTTAACTGCTATTAGAAGTGATATATAATAGCGGTTATGTTTTAACCGCTATTAGAAGTGATATATAATAGCGGTTATGTTTTAACCGCTATTATAAGTGATATTATAATAGCGGTTAAGATTTAACCGCTATCATATATTGCAGGGTAACTGCGACTTTTCATTACTTTCATCTCTTTTCTTCGCACCTCAGCGAAGAAACTCTCTCTCTCATCTCCCCCTTTTCCTCGCCTGCATTTCGTCGCAAATCAGTTCAACCAAACGTGTGTGAATGTCGTGTTTCTGTCTTCGTGAATAGTATTTCGTCGCAAATCAGTTTAAACAAACACAGCATAAAGCCCGTAGTATTTCGAATATTATATTACCTTGTACGTTTGCCCAAATTTTGAAGCAATTAATATACGTAAACTCGATTAATCTCTCTGAATATTAATTATCTGCTCTAACTTTTCATTTCGCTGTACCTTAATTTCGCTTCATGGCCACAGTGACATTTATAACTTTACTATAAATTCATTTTATTCATGTAATATGATACTGAGGTCGTGTCTGCAATGCCAGTGTGTCGTGGATTAGGGAATAAGAAAGAGGAAAAAATAGATTAATAAATAAAAAAATTGTCAGTGTAGAATGACATGACAGGGTTGGTTGTTTAGCAATCTGCGTTGAATGTCTATTGCAATCAAAGGTAAGTAAGTGAGGCCTGTCACTGTTCCTCTGTGGCTCTGTGCATTGCCACATGATTGTTTGTCAACAATGGAGAAAAGTCAACAATATCAACCGAGAGTGGCGCACATGGATGTGAAGTTGGGTCCACAAAAATGATTGTGACCACTCTCTGCTGCCTAACATTTTCTGGGGAAAAGTAGTACGTGATGAGATGAGGAATAATGGGAGTAACAAAGGATTGTTTGGATTCTTCATTCACGTGTAAAAACTCGAAAACACTTTCAGAGTAACTCCCTGCATTTTCTTTTCTCCTCCATAGGCTTCTTCTGATCACACAGTGATGTGATTATAAGTGCAATGGTCCCTCTTTCACTTTCATCATGGCGTCCTCTTTGAAACTGACAACTAAAACAAACAGAATCATTTCCATGATAGTGAGAATACCCTTTGGCGCTAATGCTCTAATGCCTTTCTCAAAACATCACCAACCCCATACAAATCTGCATATAAACAAATGAATCCATGTTGTTTTGATTGAAGGTGACTAGGTTTGGAAGCAACTCCTCGCAAATATTTCAGCTTATTTAACTAGCTTTGCATGCATGCATGCGTCTGCTCCATGAACGAGGGTCACTCTTTTTATTAAGAACGCCACGACAATAGCCTAAAACAAGGTTAGCTACCAATTATTAATAGGTCATTCTGTTTTCAACACTCATTTATCCATTACATCACTTTAATTGATTTGCTTTCAATCAAACCTCTTATATAGCTAGGGCTTATTTGCGATGCATTACTACATTATGGCAAATGTGTTTCACCAATTATTGTCAATTATGATATCACGCATAGTTTTCCAAGCGGAGATAAATGAATGTGAAGAAGTGCAGGTCTAAAATCCCCTTTTATCTTTTTTGGGCGCGTCTACGGGCTGATAGCCCAATAAAAAACAGGAAACGAAACTACAAGAAAAAGTCCATGTGGCACAAGAAGCCCAATAGCATTAGGAACCATGGGTGAACTTCGTGTGTGAAGGACTAGGATGTTCTTAATTAGGATATTGTTCTCAACCACTGTTGAGAACAATCCACATTACTCTAGTTTTGATGGTGATAATCATGATGAAAGTCTTAAAACTTCTCTGAACTAACTTATAAATCAATTTATTTTTCCCTAAAAATGTTTAAGGAAAAATTTGTCCCTATAAAAAATAGTGAAATGAGTATTTAGACCAATTTTGTACATATTCAAGCAATGGCAGATCAAACATGTACACTGCTGGATGAGACTTGAGAGAGAAAGATGACGATTACCAAAGGCAAGATGATTGAGGAAGTTTAGAACATAAAGAAATAAATTTTCATATATTATATTTGACCAAAAATAGAGAATCCATGGTGAAAAGGAAGAGAAAAGAGATTTTCTTCTGTTCTCCACGGCCTTCTGATTTCTGTAAATTGAATTACACTCCTGAAATTGGTTAGTTTCCAAGCTTCTATTCTGGTAACAACTCATGCTGCTGGATACTGTGTCCATGTCTCCAAGAGTACATGATAATGTTCATTTGTTGCTCAAAGTTGCAGCGAGTGAGCTTGGAAATTGGAGATGGCCCTTTCACAAGGACATCTGGTTTGAAATACGAGGATCTATATCTTCCCATGAATAAACACCTTTGGAGTTATTTCCCTTGCTTCTTACCTGCAATCCAGGGATTAAATAGAAATGTCATGCCAAAGTTCTCAGGCTATTTGATCGATTCGTGGCATAGTTCCTTAATAATGATTTCAATCAGTCAATGCACAAAAATGAAGAGAAAAGATAGAACAGTGAGTGACAAAAGCAAATGCTTCTTCTTATGGTGACAATCTTGTTTATATTACTGTCACATACCTCTCTGAAACCATGATCTTCTGATAGTACGACGGATTTGACGCTCATGTCTTTCTAAGAGCTCATCTACTGTGTGCATTTGAGATAATAGAGGCCCTGAAAACTCTACCTTTTCTCCTTGATCCTGACAACTCTGTTAGGAGGGAAATAAATTAGAATCATATCCATGCAAAGACACATAAATTGCATATTCTGGCTTTTGATCCAAGAAAATTAATAACTACGGCCAGTAAGGTAAAATAAGAGGTAAACTTCATCAATATTTCTATTTAGTCTTGTCACAAATTTCTTCTAACTTACTGGGTCACAGTACTATGATTACCGCTGATTGACAAGTTTTCACATATTAAGTGATGGTTGCAAGACTGAAATTTTTTAGTTTTTAAGACATTTAATCTTGAAAATAGGATCGCATATTAGTCTCTACATAAGAAAGAAGTTTCAAGCCTCAGCAGATGATATCTAATGCTTAATGCCATATTAGTGAATGTAGCGGACTAAATAAACTTACCAGGTTACTTCTCTTGGATAGTGAATCTTGCCTGTTATAAAGCGCCATGGACAGTTCTTGTGAATGGTACTCCTCAGTATCAAATGAATCTGGACGATCAAACTTATTCCATTGTTTTTTCATGGCAAGCTTAGAAATTTCAAGTAGGTCATGGGCCCTAGGGTTGGTGCATGTCCCGAAAAAATCATTATTTTCATAGTTTCTGAATTCAGAATTATTCCTTGAATTTAGTGTAGAAGTTTCCAATGCATTAAAGATATATCCTCTAGAAATAGACCGACTGTGAGCTCTAATTGAAGTGTCATCTCTACGCCTTTTTGCCCAAGCAAAGCCACTTGATTTTGAAACTTGCAATGGTCCAGGAAAGGGAATATCTACTTGAGATGCATTCTTCACCTGGGAAGCATCTTCTGGTTTACCACTAGACTGCTTTGGCACCTCCTCGCCTGTGTTTGTGTTCTCTTCTTTAAGGATGTGGACACATCTATCATCTTTCTTTTGGGAAGTTTGAGTTGTCAAATCCTGTAGGAGGAGAATAAGATGCAAGGCGAGATGAAAATACATATTCGATAATTAGAACCCAGTTGGAAATTAGTGCATGGACATAAGAAGAAACATAATAATGGAAGAACAAAAGAAAGCAAGCAAGACCTCTGCTGGGGCTAATTTACTCAATCCTAGTGGCTTTCTTGATGGTTTTCTTGATTCTTGTGCGCCAGCTCTCCCACCAATCTTTTTCCTGAAAGTTCATTGCCGTATAATTTCATGAAAAGGCAACAAATAATGATAGGAAAAATGGAATTTGAAGATCAAATTTTGTTTATGATGTTCAATACCAATGAAAGCCTCACATTGTCCTTTCAGTATTACAACCGTAAGAATCCGTTTGGCATTGGATACCAAACTGACCCTTAATATAATAAAGGATATATTCTCAACAAAATTAAAGATATATATATCAGATGAACAAATACAATACACTCCTGAGATGGAGGATTTGCCTCCATTCCAACTGGAATCAGACCTTTGGCATTCATGTTGTTTGAACTTCTAATAAATATATGTTTCCATCACCTTCTGAAACTATATAATTCTAGTCTTAATAGTTGTCTTTCCTTCTTAATTAACTGTTCAAGGATGCTGATTCAAATACATTTGAAACATAAAAGTACAAACCTAACCTCCTCCTCATTCTAACACCAAATCTAGACCCTGATAAGATATTCAAAGAAACATTTCTTTAATGGATCAACTAATTAAAGTACATGGTGATGTACTTGACCAAGTGGATGACACATGCAGTTGTTGTCTTGGTTTGGCCATACCAGCCAGACAGAAGGAAATACATGTCTAGGGATGCTGGTTGATACATGACAAGCTAAATTTTCTAGACAATAAAACTGCAAAAAGTAGACAACAAAGATGATGCTTGATTTTCACCTTCTTGACTCCTCCTCATGTTTCGCATCAATCTCCTTGCTAGGTGGGTATATTGGTAAGCTTGACGGGTCGCATGCATAAGGTTTTGTTTTGAAATACTGAAAAGTGGTAAAATTATCGTGTTAAAAGACTAGAAGAGTCCAATACCATACATCAATGCTTCACATGGTCAAAATATTTGCACATGGATGATGAACAAATTTGTACCTAGTACTAATATCACAAAAACAACAAAATTTATATACATTAAAAGATATTGTCAAATTCAAGATGGACAAAAAAGGCAATAAGAAGACTACGTTCTACTATAGAGATTAATCATTGAAATAGAACCCTTTAGTAATTTTCTTAGAAAGAGGATTTAAGCTTAATTTGACCTTAAAAAAATAACTTTTTTTTTAGGATTGAGTTAGGTCAAAATCTCTTTTTTAATATGATATTAGAATTTATGCCTACTGTTAGATTTATTGTGTTACCCACTATTTGACCACTATTATATTACCGGTAAATATTAGTCCCACACATGCTTGACATGTGTAAGGGGTGCGATGAAGATTTCGTATCAACTAGAGATATAACTAAATTATAGTATATAAGTGTATAAAACCTCACTTTTTAAACTGTTTTTATAGGGTTGAGTTAGGTCTAAATCCACTTTAACAGTTTTCAACATATGCAAAATCAACATGCAATCTTTACTTACCTCTAATGAGAGAGCAGAGGAGGCTGTCCCACGTTTGCTCGGTTCAACAGAAAGAAGAGTTTGAATAAGATTTACGCTGGATGCATGAAAATCTTCAAATGTCTCTCGGAGGCAACTATCATATGGTTGCTGAGGCTTGAACAATGTTGCATGAGGAAGCCTGGTCTTTTTCCAGTATTCTTCGGGTGGGGAGCCACAAAGCTTGAAAATTTTGTGCAATTGTTCAACCTGAATGTACAACAAAGTTGATTTCGGAAGGGATTCAAAAGAACAGTTAAAGAACAAAATATTAGAGTCGCCATTTGCAGTTGATTCGTTTATTATCAATTAGCCGGTAAAGAAACAATCTATGTTGTTAACTCCACTCTCCATTGTATCAAGATCATAAACAACTAAACACACAACAACAGCATCTACGTCAAACAATCCAATAGTTTGATTACCACAAAACCTCATGCAATAGGAACTGGACTATAAATTGTACTCTGTTAAACTATTGTCAACAACTACATAGGATTTATTTTGAACTTCAAAATATGACTCATAGCAAAATTCTCAATGTAATAGAAATAATGAATGAAGCTCAAATCAGTTTGTAGGCATGACATGATTGCACCCCTTGTTTTGAGAGGGACATGAGTTGAGGCTGACATCTAGGTAACATGCATTTCAAGACTTTCGTTGAGTTGAGACTTAAAAAGACATTCTCTGTTAAGAGCATGTAAGGTGGCACAAACCACAGGCCATTTAAGCATCCGACCAATTTTTTGTACATAAACAAATAAAATGAAACCTTTTCAATAGAAAAGTGGTTTACTATTTGGTGTAATAGGATCTAATCCAATTCTCAAATTCTCACTGACGAGCGTCATTAAGGGAGTCTGAATCTGAACAAAAAATATCAAATGGGGAAGGAACAAAGTCCATACATTTTGAAAAGTTTACTATACTACCTCAGTTCTCCCCTGAAGTATAGGCTTCCCAATTAGTAATTCTGCAAATACACAGCCAACACTCCAGAGATCCACGGATGGACCATAATCTGTTGAACCAAGCAAAAGTTCTGGAGGACGATACCATAACGTGACTACACGACTGGTGAGGGGCTGCTTGTTCCCAGAATTGGAGAAATTTGCCAGTCCAAAATCTGCCACCTTCAATATCCCTTCATTATTTACTAAAAGATTTGATCCTTTGATGTCCCGGTGCATCACACCCCGTGAGTGACAATGCTCAAGACCAGATAATAACTGTTTCATGTAGCATTTGATCTGCGCAACAAAATTACTTCATCCATTTAGGTAAGCATCACAACATTCAGTATGCACTTTCTTTTTGTATCAGTTTTGCGAAACACTCTCTTGGCACTTATATCACGGTGTATGAGAAGCAAAACAACAAACATTCAACATTCATACCTGTGATTCACTAAACTTGATTTCTGGTCTAGACAAGAGCCCCGTGATGTCGTGCTCCATGTACTCAAACACAAGGTATATGCTACAAGACAATCTAGAAGTAATCAAGCCCTCCAATTTAATGATGTTTGGATGATCAAGCCTCCTAAGAATCATTATTTCTCGTGCCATAAACCTCACACTCTCTGGCTCAAAATTGTCAAATCTCACCTTCTTCAAAGCTACTATCTTCCCGGTCTCAATCTCCTTTGCTCGGAAAACACTGCTATATGTTCCCTGCCCAATCTATTCATCCAGTTCCCAAATATATAAAAGCCAAATTATCAAATCTCAATAATAAACATCAGTAGAAAAGGCAGCATCTTATATACAACTCAAGAAAAACAAATCATTCAACAACGACAATTTCAACTGCATCGTCAAGCTTTTTAAGATTTCTGTAACCATAATTATAAATGCGTCTGTTTACAGTATTTTATAATATCAAATATTGTGATGCAATTACAATTGTGTTTGTCTAAAATTTTTATGTAATATCAATGTGATAAAATTGCTGACTGCAACTACAATTTAAAATATTATCTATACCATTCCAACAAGTTCGAGAAATCTCATCCATGACTCTTAAAATTTTCATTTGAAATGCAACCTAGTTAGGCAATCACAAAATTAACACCCAAAAAAAACACCATTGATAATTTGACATGATGAAGTGGTGGGTGGTATTTATACGAACCTTTTCAAGTTTCTCAAATGCGTCGGCTTGAAGAGGGACCCAACCGTGAATAGCCTCACTCGCGACGGCGCTGAGCCACGCCGGCCAACCCGCCGCCGCCTGCTCTCCCTCCACGTACTTGCTGAGGTTCCCCAACCTGAAGCTCAGAGACTCACTTCCACCATTGGAACTCGCTCTCCCTGACTCACCCAACTCGCTCCTACCTGACCCTGTCTTCTTCTTCCTATTCTTATCCGACTCAACCGAGTGCTCAATCGCAGGCGTGACGGAAACCGCCTGTTTCGCCACAACACACCCCATTACGTTACGCCTCACAACACCATATCACTCCCAACACCTTCACGTTCCACCCACCACACAAATGGTTAACTTCGTCCTGTTCTTCGGGTGAAGTTAGCTTCTTTGGGAACCGCAGAGAACGAGCACGAGCATCAGCAACTGTTTAACATGGCAAGGGCAAATGGGTCTGATATTTTAAACTCGCGCAACACTCTCAGACACAGACACGAACATGAAACTTTGTTTCATTCGCTTTCTCACTTTTTTTTTTTCGTTTCTCCGGCAATTGCGGAGAGAGAGGTTGGATGTTGGGATCTTAATGAGGCTGAGTGAAACACAGCGCCGAAATCAACGGAGGGATGAAAGCCTTTCGAGCGTATTTGCCTTTTTGCATGACAATGAACGAACAAACGAAAATGCCAAAATACTGGTTTTGTTGTATTTGTTACTACTACCACTGCTAGTTTGCAACTTTGTATTTTTCATAGGTTTGTTTTGCGTGAGCGTGATGTTGAGCGAAGGTAAACTATTTGAAAGTAGAGAAGTTTTGCATGAGGTTGGATTAGAAAAGCGCGTGTGAAAATGGGAGGTTATAGTATTAGTATATGACAGATATATAAATTAATATATTCCGTTTTCATTTGGTCATATATCATCGTGCCAAATTGCTAATCATCAATTATTATCGATGAAAATTAAGTTTGCTTCCACACTGATAATGGTATTGGGTTGTCGTTGTTGTGTTCATTAATGCGTCTTCGTAAGCTTGTAAATTTCCACTTTCTTTGAATTTAAGATTTGAAGATTATTTTCTGTTCATACTTCATGCACCACCACTTTACGTGGGAACACGGTAATAAAATGGTGATTTTCATATTAATTACTTTTCGAAAATAATAAAATGTGGTAATAATTATTGTCCCTGCAATGTTGATAACGGAAGGGAGATCTTAATCTGCATAAAAATCGCTTACTTGAACTGTGTTTACAGTTCTCCCATCGCTGACATTTTCATGTTTTCTTCCGTCAGTTACTGACTTAAAGTCCACGCTTTGGTGTGTTTGATTTTGATAGGTTGAAATAATAATGGGGCAGGCACCTCTACGCCCCAAAATTTTCTTCGTGGTTTGACACTTGATTATGAAAACATAACAGTGTCTATATCTATCTTGCTTTTTTATCCTTGGTGTATATATTGGCCACAGTTCTCACTTTCTTAGAGATAACGCTTTGGAATGTTGGATATGTCTGAGTGGGTAGAAAGCGTGCTGCTTAGGATAGGACTGAGTAGGGAATTCAGAGTCTTGGGACCATTTCTATAAATTCTAGAAAATTTGTCCAAAATATCCCATTTGAATTTGACGCAGACCAAAAATATTCAACCGGCCTAGAGGCTCGTATACAAGACAATTTAGCTTTTACCTGCTATAATTTTCTCTGTTTCAATATTTCTTCCTATGTGCAGAAGAAAAGGAAAGCCAAACATTTGCTTCAATTAATAATACAGAAAGAAACTAAAAGTGGTGGTTTAATTAATTATTCTTGGTGCTAATGCGTTTAGGAATTTAGTACAATGATTAGGCATGGTGTATCCATAGCTGACTTGAGGGAAAGAAGGATAGCATGATGATTTGATGACCAAAACCTTGCCTGCATTATTAATGTGCTTGCCTTATTTTCAGTATGTTGTTGCCTCAGTATCCTAATAGCGAGGGAAAAGTTTGTAGTGTGGTTCCCACTATCTTTTTCTTTTTCTTTTTCTGGTGATAAAAGGAAAGGGGGATCCAAGTATCCAACAACTATTCTCACCAATATGATTAACCATTCTATGTAGTTTCTGGAATCCTAGAGTAATAGTTATGAATAGGAGAAAGTAAATAAGTGAATAATTTTCCTGATTGTGCAAGTCTTGTTATTCACCTAAATAATGGTTTGTGCTGTTATGCATATTGAAGCTTTTTAATAATCTTCCTTTTACCAGTTCTACATGTGGTGTCTTTGTCATCACTGATGCACACCGATAATAGTAACTCTTTTCAAAACTTTAACAGTCCCTTCTCCATCCCCTCCCCCAAAAAATGAAATGCCTCTGATAATAACATACAAAAGAAAAAAAGAAAAAAAATTCCTCTGAGAAAAGCCATAATTGCTGCCTCGTGCCTCCCGTGATCTAATCAAGATATCCCTCAAAGCATGAGGAGCACTCAGAAGCAATGATAGAAATAAACAATATACCAAAGTGAAAACTAATAAATACATCTATAGATGAAACTATGAAAGAAACCCTTACATTAATCAATGTAATAAATGTAGACAAAGCATTATTCAAACTTACAATTTAAAAGAAAAAGGGGGAAGTGGTAAATCAGAAAGCTAAAACAGACAAAAGTTTTTGTCTTTTAGATTTACAACGTTGCACCCCTCTTTCCCTGGAAATTTCAACCCAGTTATAAGACAACAATAGGATGTACTGCCTAGTATTTACTGCAAGGTAAAAACCAAGCTGAAAAAGTCCCCAGATTTTTATAATGTACCTCAGTTGATCAGATAAAATGATTTTCCCATTGAATGCATTTATTAATACTCCAGACATTTTGATTAAGTTGGCTTGAGAATAATGACAAAAACTGTTAGTGCCATAAGTGGACTTACTTAATCTTTTAATATAGGGTGTTTCAAATTGCAACTTGAGAAAGTTGACAAGAAACAGAAAACCAGTGCTTTTGCACCTAAACAAGATTAAACTGGTGGCTTAATTCTAAACAAGGAAACAACTCAAACAAGTGAGTAAATGTACACCGAAAGACACAAGTGAGTAAATGTGATGTTGAACAGAGCATGTGAGTGGAACTGTTGTGATTAATTTTTGAATTCATTTGTTATACATGGTGGAGAAAGCATCACCCACTTCACCATTGGAAAAGATGTCAAGGAAACTGAAAACCAACAACAGTGATTAAAAAGAATAAAGAGTAATAAAATGAGGAACAAAAGGAGGTGGGTGTGGTAGGTCAAAGGTTGATCACAAGTGGGGATCCATGTCAGGATTTGGTTTATAACTATGGTTTAGTTGGTGCAAATATTGACTAGAGAACCTACATATGCTTAATGAAACCACAAACACTGAAAGACAAGGGAACCGTAACACCCCAACATTTCCTTTGTTAGTTCCTTTTATTTCTCTTCTTACTCACTTCCTGGCCCTGCAACATGTTTATGTTTCCCCCTCTATTTCTTACTCATCTAAAAAATTTTCATTTTACACTTTTCTTAATGCTTTATGATCTGGAAAGCTGAAAAGAAAAGAAAAGAAAAGAAAAGAAAAGAAAAACAACTTGTCTCCTTCATCATCGTCATAATATTTAGCATTTACATGATCATTATTAGATTCTCTAGTACATTATGAAGTATATCAGAAATTTAACCCAGTAAAACATCAGATACACCTTTCTTTATCCAAAGATCAATTCACTTCAGACAAAAAGTTATTTTCCAATAAAATTAATGCAATTTAAGTGGGTGATTCTTACTTAAATGTACCATTAATAATATTTGGTAATATTTGGCCCAAAGAGAGTTCAAAAGATAAAGGTTATGGGGTCAAGTGGTATATATACTACAACTGCTTGTCTCTGTCCATTTCTAATTGTTTGTCCAAAGAGTCAAAAGCTGGCACATAAGACCAAGTATGAGAAAACCAACTTAATTTGGTAGTAATATTAATTCCAATTGTTAAGCACTACCTACTTAGTTATGGAAACATTTATTTCTAAGGCAAAAGAGAAAGGGTCAAGGGTCACAATACGAATCACAAGATTGTGTGACTATGTATCTAATCTTGGGTTCATTATTTTATATTAAAAAATATTTTTTTAATTAAAGGTTTAGTTTCTAAGTCATAACTTTTATATTAATTAATGAATTAAAAAAGTTACTGTAAGGTGATTATTAGTAAACATTGACTATAACTAAATTATTTTTATTTACAAAATTAAATGGTAACACGAGAGGACGTGGTTTTTATGGATAACTTCACTTAAAAAAGAGGGAGAGAGAGGGTGGAACACAATAAAAATGAATACAGGTGGGTTTTTTGTAAGAAAAAATATGATTTTTTTTTATTAAATAATTCAGTTGAATACTTGGAATATAATTGCTGACGATTAGATTATAAAACATAATTCCATAGTCGTACATATTCGATATTTGTTTTCTTTTCTTATAAATGATAATAAATTATATCATTTCAAATAATTAATTTTTGTTCTATTTTTTTCATAAAAAATCATTTTTTATTTTTTCCTCTTTATTTATTTATTTTTCTATTTGTTCCCTCTCAAGCTATGTGATGAGGCAGACTTTTTAAGAATGCGTTTGTTAATAAAAAAAGTTATGTTTAATAAAACATAATCATTTATATGTTTATATCACAAAATTTATTATTGAAATAAAAAATCACTGTATTCATAATAAAAAATTAATTGAAGAACAACATTAGAAATATCGTAGCATCTAAAGTTAATTAGCTAAACACATTAACCATCTTAAAAATACAAATGCATCCTATTCATAGAAAGAAACCTTAATAGAATCTTGGAAGATTCTACACTCTCTATGTTTTGTTAATTCATTCTAGACTAGATCAGCATCGATCCAACAACAACTCAAACAGAGACAACTTAAATAACTTAAGACGAATATAAGTAAAACAATGATACGTAATACAACTCATTAAAACAGCATGACTGAACAAGTTCAATTGAAAGAAAGAATTTTGATAGAAAAGAATAGAGAAAGGGATGAATGTGGGAAAAAGAAAATGGAAGGTAAAAGAAACTCTTACGAAGAACAGAGAAAAAAACTTTTTCGAGTAGATAAAAGATTGTCCCATAAATGATGTTTGTTGTAATATCCCATGTAACATCCCTAACTGTATTATGCTTAGTGAATTAATTTAGTATATTGAAAGAAAGAAAAAGAATCAGTCTGAAAGGTAAAAGCATGATCTTTTCGTAAAAGAAAAAAGAAGTTCAATAAAACACAGTATTACAATTTGATGTATGTATATTTTCTGCAAGTGCTGCAACATTCATAAAGTAAAATTTGTTGGGCCTTGAATGGGAGCGAATTTCAGGTTGGGATATGAGGAATTAATAGTTTGAAAAGGACAATTTGTTTTATCCTTTTTCAGAGTGCCATGGATGGCCCTACTCCCCTCCCACCCACGGACCTTTCAACTGTCAAACAACAATGCAATATTAAAACACTTCGTAGCATTTCAAAAATTTCAGTCCTGCCGTAATAACTTCATTCATGTTACAAATCACAAAACTTATCTACACTGAAGAGAGGATATAAAAGTTATTGTTTTTTATTTACTTAGAATCTTTACGTTAAAAATGAATCACTCCATATTAACAAAAATAAAAATAGAAATAACTTATACTGTGAAAACCATATATATATATATATGGTTTGACAAATCTAACTAAATTTTAAATTTTTATATAAGAAAATACCAATATATGAAATAATAAACAAAATTCAAGGCAATCTGATTTCAAATTTTAAAAAATTATTATGATTAAATAATTAATAACCAAAATAAGGTTCTTCGAACAACATGAATCCATAAAGAGATTTAAAAAACAATACATATTTCAAGAGTAGGTGTAAAAAAGTTATTTTCTATCCTCTTTATTAATTTTTTATATATAATAATTAAGATAAATTATTGTGCTAGATTACTATAATCTCAATAATTTATTGAAGAATTAAATAAATCTAACAAGTCTATAATTGTAGATATATGTAAGTTTATTATTAAATATAAGTAGTTGATTTTGTCATTGATAAAGATAATCGAGATTTTTTCTTTTCATCTTTTACTTTAAAGAGGTCAGAAGCCTAGAATTATGTTTAACAACTCGTCTAGATGTCAATCCTCACGCAAGAACAAATGACATAAAAGTGAAACAAAAAATTGTTGTTTTTTGTCTAAAACGTAAGGAAGCGTGGCAGGAGCTTCTGTTGTCAATACATGTCTGTTTTGTATAGTTACTTGCTGCGGTTAAGATTCATCCCTCTGGCAACTTACAAGCATCTTTGTCCTCTTTTGATTTGAATTTGCCAAGCTTTTCAGCAATAGTTCTGCAACGACACTGGTTTCCTGGCCGCATCACATCACCGTAAACAGCCATTTCAATTATATCAAGCTCCTTATCTGCTAATTCATCAATAGAAACATGATTACGCAGAAATTTGGGCACTAGACAACTTGCTTTTACAAACTATACCTATAAGTCATTGTGAGTTAGATATATAATTCTAATAAACATGACAATAGTGGATCAGGCCTCAGATCTGTTAGAAAAACAGAAAGGAGACTGGGGAAAACAGGAGATTTTATTGTATTTGGCACACAAACTATACAGGTTAATTATTCTTCTTATAGTAGAGTAGTTTTTAGTTATTATACGACTTTTCATTTAACACACTAAATGACTATAATGTCAATCTTTAAAATACTAAGTTATATAAGAATAATACGCCTTAATTCATATTAACTCACCTTTTTATCCGCTCACAACCATTCTTTTTCGAATTACCATTTCCAGCATCCCCATTAATTACAAGATTCTCAACAAATTTTGTGCATACCAAGTCTTGTTCTTAATCTTGTAAAATCTTTAAACTTGAGGAGCTTAGTGAAAATGTCTTGTGTCTTCACATGAACTAGCTCCACTTTTTTCTTGTCAATCTTTTTCTTAAACTTGAGTGTCCACTTAACTCTAATTGCTTCGTGAACCTTAGGAAGTTTTGATGACTTCCAAGTGTCCTTCTTCTCGATTTTTTTTAATTTCTTTCTCCATGACTTGTTTCCATCTTTTGTCTTCCATGACTAGAGGTGCACTGTCAACAAAAAAGATAAAACAAATCATATAACAACTTCAATATCATCATATCTCTCAAATGTTTCCCATTTTTCTTGGCCTTTTACTTGAAATAGCGTAAGAAAATGAGGCTCCGTGAATTGAATAAATTGATGTGGGAGGTGGAGTAGAAAACTCATTTCATGCAACTTTTCGAACACTTACTGAGTAGGGAAAGAAAATAATAAGTGTCTTCTTTCTGCCAATTCCATGTTTCTTCATCAAATTCTACATATCTAGTGGATTCATAACTCCTTTCATTATTATCAAAATTGTAATAATCTCCTCTTCCTGGGCCACAACCACTTTCTCTTCCATGACCATGTCCTTTCCGGTTTTTCTCTCCTCCATTTTCTTTCAAAGAAGCTTTGACATTAAGGACTTGTTCTAAAGGCTCATCATGTCTTCTTTTGAACTTTTCATCATATCCTTGAAGTGAGTCCATCAATTGTCCAGATCATTGATTCTAAGTCCTTTGATCCTTCAATTTCACTAACCACAAAATCAAATTTTATGGTTAATGAAGAATATTCTCTACCACGTACATCTTCCACATTCTCTCCATAATGCTTCATTTGATTCACAATCATTATCACCTTATTGTTAAATTACGAAATTGATTCAGACTCCTTCTTATGCAAAGATTCAAAATCTCCATGAAGAATTTGTAGGCAAACCTTTTTCGCCTTATCAACACCTGCAAAGGGGATTTTCAAAATCTCCCAAGCTTGTTTGGAGGTGAATGCATTAGACAACGTCTCAAACATGATGTCATCAAAACCTTGATAAATAAAAGTAAGTGCTTGTTGATCCTTCTTTTTCATCTTCAACAAAGCCTCACTTTCATTTGGAAAACTAATCTCATTTTCATGTTGGATATAACCTTTATCCAACCTCCCAAGCATCTTGGTAAGCATGACCTTCATGTGATAACAGCAATTTTCACAACTCATATGGGTAAAACTGGGGAATTGAAACAAGTTCAAAACATTGTTTGTCATCTATCAACTCACTAAGGTTATATCTCTCTCAAAACCCAAGCTCTAATACCACTTTGTTAGAAAAATAGATAGGAGACTAGAGAAAATAGAGGAGACTATTATATTTGGCATACTAGCTTCATGGATTGGAACTCTATTTATAATAGAGTAAAGCATCACTATTACATGACTTTCACTTAACACACCAAATGATCATCATGTCAATAACCTTTCAAATACCTAATTGGTACATAAGAATAATACTCCTTAAGACTGGTTATACAATATTAAGTCAGGGAGAATGGCTGCCCATCAATCCCCTTAAGATCCATCTAAAAAAGTAGTGCCAACTCATTTTGGAGATCTTCTCGAGGGTCAACAATTTAAAGAAACTATAATTATACATTCTTAGTGGATTCAATTAAAATGAAGCATTGGCTAAACTAATAAAATCACATAAACACATGAAAGGAAACTAAGAAAAGCATGAATAGAGAATTTCAGCTAATGTTTTCGTTATTTTTTACAAAGGTGAAGTAGTCTATAATTCATAATACGTGGAGAGTACATGAAGTGCAAGCAAAAGCTTCTAATGCTGAAATTGATGGACATGAATGTGTAAAAAATTTACTAAATCCCAATCCGAACGAACAAGACATGTTAAAAAATTGTGCAGATGCTCTTTAATGATGCAAACTATAAATCAATTAAAGGAATTGATAATTATTACCTACAACATTTTGGATTGGGAGTTGTATGTTGAAGAGGATTGAGGTTCGGATTTTAGCAAGAGAAGATGGGATGAGTTTGAAAATAGAAATTGTGAATTCCAGTCCCCTAAATAATACTATCATTTTGATCACCCATAATGAACAGAGCTGAATAAAGGAACTCCTAAGGCCAAGGATGGGTAAAATGCATAATAAGAGGATAAAGAAAGAGCTGAATGCAAAGATAGACAAACAAAAAAGCAGACATACCAGTAAAATTAACCTCACAAGAGTATTCTTTCAATTGGTCTGAATCAATGTTATATTTGTCCGATTTTAGTCTATTAACTCTTGATTGAAGTATTTGACAATTATCTGCGGTGGACTCACCACCTACACCGCAACATCACAAGAAGAATAGATTAGTTGCCAAATTAACAAATATCAATCCCAATTGTATGTTCATTCGATGGCAAACCTAAAACAAATAGCACTGAAAATATGATAATGATAAAAGATGAATAGAGTACGGAAATGAGGCAGAAGAAATGAGGCAGAAGAAATGAGTTAGTAAGAGAATGAAACCTTTAGAAAAGGGAATGATGTGATCGTACTCGTAGCAGAGGCAGCCGATGCAGTTGTAGAAACGTTTGCAGACAATGTTACCGGCGGCGTCTTTGCGCCACCTCTCAGGGTGACGACCGGGGACAGTATCAGCCTTCGACCAACAGATAGTCTTGGCGTTTGAGTCGAAAAACCTGGGTCTTTTCTCGCCGTCGCCGCGAGAACGATGCGGAGAAGAACTCATCCTCCTCCTCACTGTACACTCTACAAGGAGCAAGACAAAAAGGAAAAACAATGGAACAAGAAGGATGACAATTAAACCCTTGTTGACCTCAAGGCGGAGAAAATCCAAATTGACCGTTTGGATTTGGATTTAGTTTTTTTCTGAATTTGGACGAGTAACCTTATTTTTAAATTTAAATTTTAAAATATTAATTATTTTTCTTTTTATTTTCGTCTTTTTTTTAATATTATTAGTTAAGAGTTTGGTTATGAAATGATGTAATAATGTTTTATATGTTCTTTTAAATATCTATTTAATAATTATATTTTTAGATTTTAATAAATATTTTTTTATATTCTATGATTAGATGGAATGAATTCTTAATTAGTAGATGATTATTTTATTTTATTTTATTTAATCAGATGAATTATAGTGATAAATATATTATTTTATTTATTAAAAAAATATTATTATTTATTTTTTAATATTTTTTTTAATAATATATTTTATTTTAAATTATGTAGGTGAATTAATGAATAATGTCATTATTGTTTATTTGAAGGATAATCATTAAATTGTCTAATATTTAATATTTTTTTATATGTATTATTGTGCACAATTATATATTATTATGCGAATTTTTTATATTATTTTTTATAAGAAATTTTGTTTACTTATTTATTAATATTTTTAAATATATTTCATAATTGTTTTAAAAGAATAATTAATTAAAACTTATTTTTATTATATATTTTTTATAGGAATTAATAGTTTTAAAGGATTAACAACTTATAATAAAAAGAAAAAAATAATCAAATATATTTTTTCACATAAATATTTTAATATAAATATAATAAATTAAAATATACATTCAATCAACAATAATATTCTAAAAATTATAAAATTATATTTAGTTTTTATAAAAATAATAATAATATTAAAATTAATTTATTATAATTTATATATAATAACTTTTAAAATAATACTATAGAACGGGAACATATTGATTTTTGATTTATTTAATATTGTAATATTTTTTTGGAAATTAATAATAAATTAAGAGAATAAAAGAAATCTTAAAAAATATATGGATAGAAGATGAAATAATATTTTGATGTAAAATTAGATTTTTGAAATGTATTTTTTTTATGTGTTTTGTAATATTTTGGAATATATATATATATATATATATATATATATATAAAAATAAAAATAAGTTATATTTTGAAATATATATATATATATATTAAAATATAATTTATTTTTAAGTTGATAAATATTATTTTCATTTATGTAATATATATATATATATATAAATTAATTTGAAGTTAATTTTAATTTATGTAATATATATATATATATATATATATAATTATAATATATATAATATATATAATTTATTTAACATTAAAAATAATAATATTTTTATTAATTTTATAATTATAATTTTTTTAACTTTACAATTATAATTCATAAATAATTTTTTTTTAATTTTAATTTGATATATATTTTTATTTGTAATTATTTAATGTATATTTAAAAAACTAATCGATTATTTAAAAAAGTAATCGATTATAATCAATTATTTAAAAAAATAATCGGTTGTTTGAAAAATTAATCCATCATAATCGAGTAATTGAAAACTTATTCAACTAATTTTTAAAATAATTGATTAGTTTTTTTAAATATATATTAAGTAAAAAAAATAAATATATATATATATATATAATATTATAATGTTTTATTTAAAATTTGTAGTTTAAAAAGATTTATATATTTATTAAATTAATAATATAATTAGATTTATTGTTCAAAATAGTAAAATAATATTTTTATAAATATATTATTAACTATTATATTTATATTTTATTTGTATGATTATTATTTTTTAATTCTTTAATTTATTTGATATGTAATATTTTTTTAAATTAATAACAAATTATGAGGATAAGAAAAATCTCAAAAATATATATATATATATATATAATTAATTTAAAGTGTAATTTATATAATATATATATATATATATATATATATATATATTATTTAACATTAAAAATAGTTATATTTTTATTTAGAATTATAACTTTTTTTAAGGTCATAGTTTTAAATATAATTATTTTAACTTTATAATTATAATTTATGTAATATATATAATTTATAAATAATTATTTTTTTAAATTTTAATTTGATATATATTTTTATTTGTAATTATTTAATGTATATTTAAAAAATTAATTGATTATTTAAAAAACTAATCGATTATAATCAATTATTTAAAAAAGTAATCGATTGTTTAAAAAATAAATGATTAATTTTTCAAATATACATTAAATAAAACTATATATATATATATATATATATAATATTATAATGTTTTATGTAAAATTTATAATTTTAAATTATAGTTTTAAAAAGATTTATATATTTATTAGATTAATAATATATTTAGATTTATTGTTGAATGTAGTAAAATAATATTTTTAAAATATATTATTAAATATTATACTTATAATTTATTTGCATGATGAATTTTTTTAATTCTTTGATTTATTTGATATTGTAATATTTTTTTAGAAATTAATAGTAAATTAGGAGGATAATAACAATCTTAAAAATTATATGTATATAAGAAGAAATAATATTTTGACGTAAAATTATATTTTTGAAATGTATTTTTGTGTGTGTGTTTTGTAATATTTTGGAAGATATATATATATATATATATATATATATATATATATATATATATATATATATATATATATATATATTGAAGCAATGAGGGAAAGATTGATGGAAATGTCCCTACATTCCCAAGAGATGATTTTGATGATGATTAAGTCAACTACATTCAAGTAAATACCATTCAAGATGAATTAAGGACAAACTGAATTTATGACGTTGGTGAAAATGTGAAACATTTCCCTACATGCCTAAGATATGTTTTTGATAAAAATGATGATTCAAGCAAGGCCAAGATGATTCCTGAAGACTAGATAGAGTCTTAGAATATTGGATATGGAGGTACAAGTTGATGAAGTAATATTATGCATAAGCCTCCAAAGCACAAGTGTGATAAAATTCATAATGTGATATTTTTCTCTGTCATAATTAATTATGATGCATTAGAAATAGAAAAATGATTTTTTCTATCATAATTGATTATACAGGTAATATAATCAATTATGACAATTCAAATTTAAAAATATATCCATTTTAAAGAATAAATGTTTTTGAATACATCATGACTTTCTCTATGATATTATTAATGTCCAACGGCCATTTTCTGATCCTATTTTTCTATTTAATTAAGTTTTGATGAAAAATAAAAAACACACAATTACAGAATTCGAAAATACAATTTACATTCAATTAGTTTTGAAAAAAGAATTCTGAGCAAGACAACAGAGATATTTTTACACCTTTTGAGAAAACTCTCTTCTCTACTCCTTATGTGCTTTCATTGTTAATCACACTTGTTCTTGGAGATTGGCATTCTACAGACTTCTACAATTTGTTGTCTCGATTACCCAGGTATGTCTATTCTTATTTTTATTACCTTCATCCATCCTTTGTGTATTGGTGGCAAATGAGGTGTTTTAATCCTTTGATTTGTTCAAAGGAGGTTTTCATCCCTAATGTGATTCTAGGGAGGTGTTCATCCTTAGTGGTTGGCTATACCCGAATCAGTATAAATCTCAGTGTGCTCTTCTCTTTCTCTTATCTCTTTTTCTTTTCCTGATTTTATTATCGCTTTCGTTTTATCTATGTTCAAACAAACTATTGACTCACAAATAAATTTTTAATATGACATCTATTTTAATTTGTGCATCTATTCACTTCTCTCTAGATGTCATTTGTCTAATACACACATATTTATATATATATATATATATATATATATATATATAAAATTTATATAGTATATATAATTTATATAGTATATATAATTTATTTAACATTAAAAATAGTTATATTTTTATTAATTTTATAATTATAATTTATTTTAAGGTTATAATTCTAAATATAATTTTTTTAACTTTATAATTATAATTTATATAATATATATAATTTATAAATATTTATTTTATTTTATTTTAATTTGATATATTTTTATTTATAATTATTTTAAGTATATTTGAAAATTTAATTAATTATAATCGATTATTTGAAAGAGTAATCGGTTGTTTGAAAAACTAATCAATTATAATTCAGTAATTGAAAGATTAATTGATTAGTTTTTAAAATAATCGATTAATTTTTCAAATATACGTTAAGTAAAAGAAAAAATATATATATATATTTATAATATTATAATATTTTATTTAAAATTTATAGTTTTAAAAAGATTTATATATTTATTAGATTAATAATATATTTAGATTTATTGTTGAAAGTAGTAAAATAATCTTTTTAAAATATATTATTAAATATTATATTTATAATTTATTTGCATGATAAATTTTTTTAACATTTTTTGATTTATATTATATTGTAATATTTTTTTTAGAAATTAATAATAAATTAGGAGGATAATAAAAATCTTAAAAATTATATGTATATAAGATGAAATAATATTTGATGCAAAATTATATTTTTGAAATGTATTTTTTATGTGTGTTTTGTAATATTTTGGAATATATATATATATATATATATATATATATATTATAATTTGAAAGATATTTCTTTTAAGTTGATAATTTTTATTTTAATTAATGCAATATATATATATATATAATTAATTTCAAGTTCATATATGTAATTTTAATTTATATAATATATATATATATATATATATATATATATAATTTGTATAGTATATATAATTTATTTAACATTAAAAATAGTTATATTTTTATTAATTTTATAATTATAATTTATTTTAAGGTTATAATTCTAAATATTTTTTTAACTTTATAATTATAATTTATATAATATATATAAATTTATAAATGTTTATTTTATTTAATTTTAATTTGATATATATTTTTATTTATAATTATTTTAAGTATATT